GCCCTAATCAGTATCAAATCTACAGTGAGTCATTCAAACAGCATGACATAACTGGTAAAGTATGCACTATCGGAAATATTTTACTTAAGATGTCACAAAATGTTCTACTTTGTTGGTAATAGACTGTGGCTTTACATTGAGGGTTTTTTGTTGATCGTATGACTCCAGAGTTGCAAGGTCTAGAGCAGGGGGACTATCCACTGTTTGGTAAGTGATTCTCCTCTCCCTTGAAAATAGAAGTTTCAGATTATTCAAGATTAATATAATAAGAAGTCATTCTTTATGAGGGTAAGAGCCACACCCTGTTCATTACAATCAAAACCCCAACTATTAAGAAATATCTCATGAGAAAAAATGAAAATTAGTTTTTTTCATTGAGAAATATTTTTTTAGGTTACATTTGTATTCTTTGGGCTGGGAAATGAGATTGACTGATTATCTCCCTAGGGCTGAATCAGGATTACCACAGCAAGTTTTTTTTCTTACACACATTTGTCTAACTTTGTTCTAGAAAACTGACAATGAAGAATATTTTTTATCTCTTTATTCTAGTGTTTTATGGTCCTTAAAATTAATAAAATAAATATTATTTCTGCCAGTGAAACTGATTTCTGTTCCATAAGTAGCCAGAATGTACATTGCCATTTGCTGTCTTGCATGTTTTCCTTTATTTGATAAGGAGCTTCTCTCTTTATGAATTTTCCTTGACTAGTCTAAAAAGTATTCATTCTGTCACAGTTTTTCCCTCAAACACCCACAGGACATCTAAACCCTCATCACTTGCTGTCTTGTCAGTGAACCATATATTAAAAAGCATCCTCGTATTTTTTTTTCCTATTTGCTTTATAAGTTGATATTGATTTTGTTGATCTCACTGGCTTTTTAAGTTTACAGTTTCCAGTAGTAGTATATTAACTGGCCACTTTGAACTGACATCGGTTCAGCTGAGTAGCTGGACTAATACAAATACACCTGTAATTTGGGAGTTAAATAGCATTTTTACTCATATCACAGGAATTATTTAGTCTGTAAAAAATTTCATGTGGAACATTATTTTGTTCTCTGAAGTGGTGGTATGCAAAACATGGAATTGACATTAAACCATTTAGTATCACTCAGTGATTTCAGTTCCACATGAAACCTCAGTGTAAGAATAATATATTGTTAACTTTTGTATGTTCATTGCCTGTTTGTATACGTGTACTTGTGGTGTTTCAAATTTTCCATTGATTCCTTTTGTTATTCTTTCCTTTTTGATAATATGTGAGTAATTGCAAACAAGGTAAATTGAACTACTAATCTTTAATCACTATGAGGCCCTGAATAAACATGTGCACTAATATGGAAGAGATGGTTTGTGTCAAGTTAGTAAATGTTTAGTTTTTGTACATAATCACTGCACCTATTTCCTCTAAATCTTCATCTGTTTCTCAGTGTCTTGGATGTAGTCCTTAAAAACTGTCTGGATCGTCGTCCAAGTGTATAGAGCTGGTTTCCTCTAGAGAGCTATCAGAAAATTTTGAAATGAAGCTATTTTTTCTTTTCTCTAGTATTGTTTTACTATTACGTTGTCTCTTTAGAATTAAACATTTACGAGATGAAGTTGAAGAAAATGTTTTTCTTTTCAACTAAATGTACATGGATAGCATTGTAGATAGGTGAAAATTCAAACTTTATAGACCTCAATGAAAAGAGAAAATCAAAATTGATCTTCAGAGAGGTATACGGAGGATATTAGCATGAGTGTTAGAAAATAAGTCTACAGTAAAAATAAATAAATAAATAAAAATAAAAGTAGGATTTCATGGTCCTTGTGGGTCGCTTCCCACTGAAAATGTTCACGATAACAAAAGGAGTAGAATAATGTTTGTACAAATTTTACAAATTATTGTGACAATGAGTGAAATGAAAACACAGGAGTATACTTCCAGCGCTGTTTATCCTATGACTCAAATTACTTGAAATCTACCAAAGGGGCAGAACAGTAGGTTTTGGGCTCAAAAAAAGTAAAACATGAAAGGAACATGAAAACTACTATGAAGATTAAGCTAAGATAGTTTAACTGTTTCTAGACACACTTACACAAAAGTGATGTGATTGTTGAAAATTTCTCAGGAATTAAATTGACTTTACAGTCTCCTTTGATATGGAAGAATACAGTAAAAAGGACTTGAAGAAAATGACAAAAGAAGGATATTTATGATTTATTTGAAGATAAAAGCTAAGGCCTGGTCGTAAGCCAGGAATAAAAACCTTGGAGAAACTTATCTATAGATTGTCACCTTAACCAATGGTGTTGAAAAGCGCAGTATTCTGAGTACTTGGAATGTTAGTTGCTAATTACAGTTTATTGGGTTGGGGCAAAAATGCAAAACAAAATATCCTTTGTAGAAAATTTATAAATTTATGCTACTCCTGACAAAAAGGAGCTGCAGATGTATAAGAAAAAATGATCTGTTGTTATACCTAGCAAGAAAGAAGTAAATTTATATTAACAGTGTCTCAATTATGGCTTGGTTCAGTGTTCTTTCATTAGATTTGCAACAATTTAAGGGCAGTGGCTGATGCTTTCTAGGGGGGGTGAGGCCCCTTGTACCTCATGTAGGATGGGACTTACTGGCTGGGGAAGTTTTGTTGAAGAGGACTAGCCTAGTAGACAGGAAGGTGAAATAAGCCATTAGTGGGCCTTGGAAGATTGAAAAAAGCCATCAGAATCCTGGACAGTATTAATAAGTACGTAGCCAGCAGATAAAGGGCAGTGGTTGTGGTTCTTAGATTCCAGTTCTTGGACCTAGAATGCTGTTAAGACATTGACAAACTGGAACAAGTTCAGGTGGGTACCACCTAGCTGCTCAGAGCGGATCACTTGCAGTGTGAGCAGGGGCTTGAGTGAGCTGGGCTTGTTCACCCTGGAGAAAAGGTGACTTGCTAGGGATAAGATGGAGGACTAACAGGAACCCCAAGTGTATAGAAATGTTATCAGAAAGATGAGGCCAAATTCTTCATGATGACTTGTATGTGACGACAGTAGACTTAAGTTGAAGTGAGAGGTTAAAGCTGAATGTATTAAGAAACTTTGCCTCATGAGCACAGTTGATATTGGAACAAGTTGTTTACAAGGTTGTGCTGTCTCTGTCCTGGGAGGATTTCAAGCCCCAGCTGGAAAACGCCTTCAGCAATGTGATCTGATCTCGTAACTGACCTGTTTAGAGCAGGAGGCTGGACTGGAAATCTCCCGAGGTGCCTTGCAACCTGAATTCTCCAGTTGCTAAGTAATTACAAGCACCTCAGAACCAATTAAATGCATTTTGCAGCCAGATGGAGAAGATAAAATACAGAAAGGCCCAGTAAGAATTTGGGATATGTTTTGTAAACACAAAATCCTTGTGATCAGTGAGCGGAGCATCTGGATGACTTATTAAGCAAATGGGTCAGAGGTTATTTGTGTTGTATTTGACCCAAAACCAGAACCAAAACAATGTAAAAGACCAACTCTGAGCAAGATCTAAGGGTTCCTGGAATGAATATTGAAAAATAAGACAATAAAAAGGAAGGAACAAAAATGACAGTGGCTTGTGCAACCAGGAACGCAGTGGTAATAGTATGAGCTTGTCACAAAAGGGTCTTCAATAGATGATGACTTTTACACCAGTGTGGGGAGTATAAAGAATTGTTTTGACTGTACAGCCCTCTATACCTACTTTATACCAGTACAGTCTGTGGAACAAAACTGAGAAATGGACTGTGATTTTGGTGTTTGCATATGTCTTTGAATTTGCCAGCAAGCAACGGTTCTAAATGACTAGGGAGTTCTTGAGAGGTGAATTGTTCTTTGGCAGTATTATCCTGTAGCATTGAAACAAATTATGATTTTTGCAATGTCTCAGAATTAATAGGAAGATTTGTCTTAAAACGAGTAAGGAATAACCATTTTTGGGAAAACGGTTCATTGACAAAGTAATAAATAAGATGTCTAAAGATCTACTTATTGATGTGTGATTTGTTGAAAGTAAGGAAGGAAAGAAACCCTGCTTCACCTCTTGTTTTTACACCCTGCTCCCCAGTGTGCTATGCATGTCTTCAGAGCATGAGGTTTTAATGCTATGATCATTAAACAAACCTCATTCTGTCAAAGTAATACCCAAGAGGTACCTTGGTCCAAGTGAAGGAATTTGATAGGAGGTACTTGAAAGAACTCAAGCCTTTTTAAATTAAACTTTTAAGGAGGAAAGGAACAGGACTCAAGAAAAAACCTTTTTAGTTTTAAAAGGAACCAGAATTTTATGAATATTCATTAAATACCAAATGGCACCTCAGAAAATGAGGTATGAGCTGCTACTGAAAATCTACAAATAGCCTCATAATCTGGGTAATTCTATAACCTTTTAATATGCTTGCATCAACTATTTGCCTTATACAACTACATCAACTATATCCCTTGTATTTTTATGAAATTCCTATAAAAATATTGCTTTTAAAGGCTGAAACAATTTTTTTCATTTGATTAACATATTTGCAAAATGTTAGGAGTATGTTATAGCAGCTGAAATATGTTATGAGCGTGTTGGTGAGAGGATGATCTTGTGATTTAGGATACTGTGCTGGAATTTGGCTCTATTTCAGGTTATTCTGGTATTGGAGAGGTAGCATTAGAGAATCCTAGGAACTGAAGTTACTCTATCTATATAGAGAAAGGGTCTCTCTTTTATTATCACAGTGCTGCCAGATACATTTCCAGGATACACAGTTAAGTTATACTCTGCTTCACACAACTCAGTGAGTTTGGTCTGCAAGGCACGCAGTAATGTATGGGTGAGAGGCCTGACATGGAGAGCAGGAGGCTTGGGTCTCATTCCCAGCTCAGCTTCACAGCTCAGGGGGTGGGAAGGGTGATGACAAGCAGGTGGTTTTATTCACCATGTGAAATCGTTCTGATCATGTTCGTCCTCCTCATTCACATTTTAGTGTCTGCACAACAGAGATAACGATAGTGGTGTTTTTAAATAATTGCATTGTGATACATGAATAAAAGATGCTTAAGAGCCAGCTGAGTC